TGGTAGTCGCTTGTTTGTAAACAATGACAAGCTATGGTCATTTGACGCACGCGCAGGTGACGACTCCCCCGCTTTAAACTGTTTTAGGCTGATCATTACAGTGAATTTGCATTAAATTGATTGAAATGTTAATTAACTGTCCGTGATTTAATTGAGTGTGGTTCAAAGTTGTGCACAACATTATTCATTGTTATTTCTCTTAAAGCGGGAGGGTCGTCACTTGCGCACGCGCGGGAATTGAGTCCCAAGCGACGACAACAACACACGCTAAAACGCAAAGGCTCATGGCTAGACGCTTGTTTGTAAACAATGACACGCTATGGCCATCTGACGCATGCGCAGGTGACGACTCCCCCGCTTTAAGGTTAATTTCAAAAGTCCGTGGAATCCCTATCAAGTCATTAACGTTTGAAGCGCCACAGTCAGCAAAGCGCGACGTGTTAGAAATGAAATCCATGTGAAATACACAATGCGCGTAAAATTCATTGTTAGTTTATATAAAATTCAAACGCCTTCGCGAAGAACGCTGCGCGTTGACGTATCTCTGACCCCTGACCCCATCAGCCACTCAATGTACAGGTAGCAAGCTAATCGCAGGTTATATATGCTGATATATGCGCATTTTTCATAAAACATACTGCAGTGACAATATTTCGTTTCTGTATATGTATATTATTAAACGTATTTCCAATAGTCAGTTTAAGGTAGCGAGACTATTATTTGTGTTGAAAATAACGATTTTCACATTTATTTATTAATTGATGAAATGCACTATAAACTTTCATATGATAAAGTCAACATAACATAGAATGTCATGTAAGTTGGTTAAAATGTATATTTTCTGAAGGGAAGCAAGGCAGCCTCAGTAGTGTTTTCCAAAATCAACAATACAGGTTTAATCTGTGTGCCTATAAGTTTCAAAGATAAACTCAAGGCAAAGCAATGTTAGGATGTGTTATCAGTAGCTATCTGACACACAATGAGTGTTTCCAAACATTCGAGTGGTTTGTCTCCGCCCCTGTTTGTTTCACAGATTAGTCATTTGCATATGAATGTGTCAGACACAAGTCACACAGCCACTGAAAAAAATCATTGATTATGGTGTTTTCATATGCCGAATTTATCCAATTATAGCTATCCCATTCCTTTATTTTTTTGGGTTTCTAATAGCCTTACACATTTGGATGCCCCTACACATGGTAAACAGACCTTGATGGGAAAACAAATTGATTGTGCCGATAACAGCTGAAAATCTTTGCTGTACTCATGACGTTTTCTAGAGTTTATGTTT